TCCAACACTATACCATATTATATATAATAAAGTGAAAAGACAAGCAATGACCATCACTATAGCAGATTATATACAATTCTAATAGCAAGTAATATACAACACAGACGATGATTTTTAAACAAAAACAGACGTATTTGACAAATATAGACGACGGATTTTCAACAAACGTCGTCTAATTATAACCACGACGGTAGTTAAAGAACACCATCGTGTATAAGTAATACAAACGACGGTTTATGAAAAAACCGTCGTCGTATGCCTAAAAACGCGTCGATATCCCAGTTTATTTTCAAGATCCCAAAACCCTATTAAGAATACAATATATACATGAAACCAAACATGAAACCAACATATACTAAGCATGAAAACAATAAATCCATTCCCAATTCAACATAACAGAGAGTGATTAAAAGATCCGACAAAATTAAATCCATTCCTTATTCAACATAACAGAGAGTGATCCAGAAAACATTAAACAGAAAATCCATGAACCCATAGCTTCAACAACATTATTAACATATCGCAAAACATATATCTAAAACTCTTTAACAAAACAACCTAATATCATTCAATGAATTTACAAGGGGAAGAGAGGGTTTGTACTTACAGGTTGGCAGAGCTCACAGATTATGGCATACTTAGATTCGATAGAGCCTGGAGAGCTCAACTTTGAATTAGAGATGAAGTGAGAGAGCGAAATGTTATGTAGCGCGAAATCTGAAAATTTTAGGTCGCGCGAATATTTTTAGAAAGCGCGCTCTTTAAAACATCGACGGAAAAAACAACCGTCGTTAAAAGTTCACTTTAAACATGACGCTTATTACATTAAAGACGTCGTGGTAAAACTATGTACGACGCAAAATCAAACAGAAGTCGTCAAAACTAAGAAAAACCATGGCGAAAGTTCTACCAAAACCGACGTAAATATAGTATTCCACGACTCAAACACTGAACATAACGCTGTTTATTTTGAAGAAACCACGTCGTCTATTGAAGCAATAGGAGTTGACGTTGCATTTTTTGGATTTATTTTAAATTTATTTTGAATATTTTGAATTAAAAATAATAAAATATTCTTATATCAACAACAAACCACGTCGGGGTTAATTAATTAACGACATTGTAAATAATAATAAACGACTCAGTTGTAAAAAGGACGTCGTTTAAAAGAGAAACCATGGCGGATGTTTCACCATCCGACATAAACTCAATATTCCACGACTCAATCACTGTCGTTAAAAAGTAATAACCTAAACCCTAAAATCTAAATTATATATTTTTAAAATATAATTTTATAAAATTGTTTTTGGTTTTACAGCCTAATATACAACAAACATAAACCGTAAACCCTAAATATTATCCTTTAACCCTAAACCCTAATAAATAACAACCCTAAGCCTTCAACCCTAAACCCTGAACCTCAAACTATAAGTGATGTTATGACTCATCAAAACAATTTATTTTTGGGTGGTCATTTTAAAATTGTATTACTCAAACTGAATTTTTTTAAGGTTTATGGGGAAGAAAATATATCAATGACTTCATAGGAGTTGACATTGCATTTTTTTGATATATTTTACATTTATTATGAATATTTTGAATGAAATAGAATAAAATATTCCTACAAACACAACAAACCACGTCGACTTTAAGAAAGTAACGACGTTGTAAATATAATAAACGACATAGTCATCAAACAGTTCCTGCATCGCCCACAAAACAATTGCAACTTTTGTTTTTGTTTTGTTTTGTTTTTTCCGTCCTTATGCTTATCCTCTAAACAAAAGAATTCAATATATCTCATCTTGAATCGAGGATCCAGTGCTCCAGAGCAAATCAACTCTGGAAGAGTCCTTAAATCTTTCTGCTGGTCATATTCAACTACCTCCTTGACCTTTGTATCTGTAGAATTTCAAAGGTTGTATTTTCATCATAAGTTCTTTACAATTGTACAGCAATATATAAGGAGATTGACTCCTTGATTTACGCCACAACTTGGTGGCTTAAGGAAGACAAATAACAGCTCCTTGAATTAAGGAGTTGACAACACAAAGATATACTAATCACAAGAGACCCGGACTCTTAACCACCTAGGGAACAAACAATACCCAGAAGGAACATAGATGAGTAGTTGACCTATCCCCTTATTGTCCAGTGTTACCGTAAGCCAACCTAATATTCAGGAAATCCTGATGACCACTGGACTATAATCATCGGACTAACATCCAATAGTATCTGAAACTGATGAAAAGGAACTCACATCCTTGCTATGACCACTGCTGAAAATAATTCAACTAACAGACAACCACAGCCTTTAGACTTCTTATTGGGAAAAACCAGAGGATATTGAAGAATATGAGACCATGTTGGTATGCACACGCAAATGACTCAGAGTCTGCAATGCTTCACTTACAAGGCCAATGAAAAACCGGACAGCCACATCCCCAGAACGTACAGCCTCATATTGCATCCAAGCCCTCCTCAATGCCATTCTACGCTCAAAATTATTTCCAGTAGAGAACACTCCAACCAACATCAATGGCCTTTTCTTCAAAGTTGCAGGAGCTTTGAGGTGCTCAACATCAACAACTAAATCATGATCCTCAGAAACAGGAAAGCCTTTAGCTAAGGCAGATAAGAGGTCCAAACCACCAGCCACTTTGACTTTGGTAACTGACCATGGCTCAAGTTTCTACATATACAAAAAAGCAATGTAGGGTGGAATTATTCACTTTTTCCAAAATGGAATTGCCTTGCAGAAAACAAGTTTTGGGCAATAATCTGTTATTACCAATAAAATCAGACCTTACCTCCCTATATGCAAAAGATGTTTCATGCCTTCCATTCACAGTCATGTGAAATCCCTCTAAACCAACCCACAATGTAGCAGTAAAGGGATTCCCTTCAACAAATGGGAAATTTGCACTTCCAAAGGCACCTCCCCTGGAAACATTGGTCAACATGTCAATACTAGGCTGACTCATATTTAGATTTTCTTCCAAGGAGCTTCTGACAGCTTGTTCATTGCAAAGAACAAGTCCATCAACTGTCAAATTTGCTAAAATGTGTTAGATTTCTACTTGGAACACCCTTATTGTTTTTTAAGAGGAACCTTACTCATAAGTTAAAGAAAAAGAGCAGGATATGATAAATAATCTTTATTTGATTAGTATGAAAACAGTGTTATACATTATAACATTTTCGATTAATACAGAGGACAAATGAGTGTTCTAAAGTTATCATGAGTTTAATTACATTTTTTTTT